CTATTTACTTATTTATTTAGTGTTACTGGCGATTAAATCCAAGATTGCTCTACCACTGAGTACCTGTCCTTTTTATTTCGAGACAGGGTCTCACTAAGTTGCCCAGGCTGGCCTTGAACTTGTGACTCTCCTGCCTCAGACTCCCAAGTCACTGGTGCAATCTCTACCTTAAACCAGTAAGTACCATGAGCTGCCTCCCACGTGGTGGAAATGTCCCAGCAGCCAACGTTCATCTAGCACCCACTCTGCCAAAGTATACTGAGGGCTTTCCACGGTGGTGGCCTCCTTACCCAGCACACGTGAGACAGAAACATTTTGACTGCACTTTACAGCTGAGGAAGTTGAGGACCAGAGTGATCACACAGCCCAACACTCACATTTGAACCCAGACCTCTGAACCTCCACCTATAGGGCACAGCCATTGACAGCTAGGAGACACACGGGCCACAGTGACCAATCCCGTCCCTCCTCCCCCACCCAGTCCACAGCAGAGCCCTCACCATTCTCCTGGGCAAAGCGGGAAGCCTCCAGGAAAGTGACCTCGCGCTCAGGGTCCAGGTCCTTCTTGTTGCCACAGAGGATGACCACAATGTTGGGGCTGGCCAGTGTGCGGGCATCCGTCAGCCAGGCAGCCAGTGAATTGTATGTCTCCCGGCTATGGAGAAGGGACAGAGAAGGAAGGTGGCACAGGAGAGAGGCCACCCATGTCCCACCCCAACCACGCTGCTCATGCTGAGTAGCCCACACCCACCTTGTGATGTCATACACCAGCAGGGCTCCAGCCGCCCCTCGGTAATAACTCCGTGTCACCGACCTGTGGGGCCAGGGGGACCCAGTCATCCCCAAGGCTGGGGTGTGCCCCAAGACTGCACCCCTTTGCACAGAGAGACTGATGATTCGGAGGACCCTCTCACTGATGGCCCAGCCCCCAAACCTAGCTTTGGTGGAGATAATTTCTCTACCTGGAAGTCTGTCTGCCTGTCTCTCTCTCTTTCAACTTCTCTCTCACTCAGCTCTTTGTCTACCTACTTCTGTGGATCTCTCCCTGTCTCTGTGTCCCTGTCTTTCTGAACCTGTGCATTGGTCTGTTTCTTTTTCTGCATATGGTTTACGTGTGTAGTGTCTAGCTTTTCTCCTTGCAGTGCTGGGGATCTGGCTCAGGGCCTCACTAGGCAAGCACTCTGCCGCTGAGCTTCACTCCAGCTATGTGCCTTTAACTCTGTTTCCTCCTGTCTCTCGCTGACTCTGGCTCTCATACTTATTTTTGCCTTCGCCTTCATTCATTCAGCATTTTCTGAGCATCTCCCCTCTACCCAGCCCTACCCAGTGCGATGCAATATCTACTTGTCCCTCTTCTGTGTCTGATGGAGGCCTCCTTCCCAGCATGGCCAACTCTTTTCTTTTTTTTTTTTTTTTTATTAGTTATTGATGGACCTTTATTTATTTATTTAATTGCTTATATGTGGTGCTGAGAATCAAACCCAGTGCCTCACACATGCTAGGCAAGCGCTCTACCACTGAGCCACATCCCCAGCCATGGCCAACTTTATTGCCCTGTCTCATCAATCTGGATCCCTCTGCAACTCAGGCAATCATTCCACAACATTTATTGAGCACTTACTGTAAGTCCAACCCATATCACACACCTGTTTCTCCTTCCCCATCTCTGTCTCTGGGCTCTCCGCAGCTCATGCGGTCTGTCAACACTCAGCACCTATTAAGTGTTGCCGAGAGAGCATGTTCTCCATGGACTGAACTCCTTGTTTCTCTCTCTGCCCTGTCTGTTTCTCAGACTCTCAGAATTTCTATGTCTATCAACTTTTCTACAGACATTTTTCTGAAGACCTACTCATCTATCTCCCTCTCCCCTAGACGTCCATTTCTCCATCCTCCTGGCTACAACTGTCCACCCTCCCTGTCCTTCTCCCACTCTGACCTGTTTCTCTTTGCATCTCCTTACCTGCTTTATCATTCTTTTCATCTGCATCTTTCTCAGTCTCCCTTTCTCTTGCCTTTCTTTTCTGAATGTGTCTCTCTTTCATGCTTCTGCTTCTATTTCTGTTTTAGGGTCTCTCAAACTCTACTCCTCAACCTCAAGTCTTCCTTTCTTTTTTTCCCTTCCTTTCTCTTCCCTTCCCATTCCTTCCCTTTCTTGTGGTGCTGTGGATGGAACCCAGGACCTTATGCAAGCTCTCTCCTCTGCCTTGCCTTCTCAGCGTCTTTTTACTCCTATTACTGTGTCTTGGAGTGCATACACCTCTCTCTCCCCCTCCTCCCCTCCCTCCCTCCTTGGAAGCCCGGCCCACCTACCGAAACCGCTCCTGGCCAGCAGTGTCCCAAATCTGTAGCTTCACAGTCTTCCCACCCACGTTGACCACCCGGGATCCAAACTCCACACCGATTGTGTGGTTGGAGTCCTGTTTGACTGGGAATGGGAAGGAGAGAGGAGGCATGCAGAGGCTCAGAGGATCCCCTATCCTCCAAGGCCTCTTGTCTCTACAAACCCATTCTCATTGCTGGGGTGACTGTGAATCTAGCAAACAGCACACCAAGGCAAGGCCCAGCAATGGAGTTGGATCTACGGCCAGTCATGCCCAACCCATCAGCTGCCCACCTACCCACAGCTCAGTGCTGCTAATACCACTGCCGGAAACTCACACTTATTCTCAATGAACTGATGAAGGAGACATGATTTGCCAGTTCCTGCACTGCCGATCACCAGGAATTTGAAGAGGAAGTCTGAGCAGATGGAGTCAAAATCAAGGATACCCACAGGAAGAGAAAGATAAAGAGAAAAAGGGAGAAATTGAGAAGAGTTAGAAAGAAACAGACACAGAAACAGAAGCATAGACAACAATTGTAACAGATCACCTGTTTTTTATCTTTTGGGGTGCTTTCTGTGAGGTGGGGATAGTACCCAGGGCCTTGCACATGCTAAGCAAGTACTCTACCACTGACCCACACCCCCAGTCCAAGAAGATTATCTTTTTTTGTTGTTATTGTTACTGGGGATTAAACCCAGGGATTTTACCACTGAGCCACATCTCCAACCCTTTATATATATACATATACATATATATATAAATATATATTATACATATATTTTAGTTATAGTTGGTCACAATACCTTTATTTATTTATTTATTTTTATGGAGTTCTGAGGATTGAACCCAGTGCCTTGCACATGCTAGGTAAGTGCTCTACCACTGAGCCACAACCCCAGCCTCCCTTTTTATTTTTTTGAGACAGGTTCTCACTAATTTAATCAGGTTCTTACTCAATTGCTGAGGTTGACCTCAAACTTGCAATCCTCCTGCCTCAGCCTCCCAAGTTGCTAGGACTGCATCCCATGCCTGGCCCAAGATTATTCTTTATAGAGTTTACCATAGGCACAGTTCTAAAGATTTTTATATTACCAGCTCACTTAATCTTTGAGAAAACTCTAGGAGAGAGGTATACTAATAATTATCCCTGTTTTCCAGATGTGGTAACTGAGTCCAAAGAGGTTATCTGACTTGCCCAAGATCACACATCTAGGACAGAATTGAGACTGAAACCCTGGCCAAAGATCTCCAGAGTCTAAGATATTTGCTATTACATTGCTAATTCCTCTTGAAATTCGTCTAATCAAGGGAAATCTAGCCTCGGTCCCTCCTTTTTGGTTGGCACTCGGAATTAAACCCAATAGCACTTTACCTCTGAGTTATAGCCCCAGCCCCTTTTTTTTTTTTTTTTTTTTTTTGAGACATGGTCTTGCTAAGTTGCTTAGGGCCTCACCAAGTTGCTGAGGCTGGCCTCCAATTTGTGATCTCCTGCCTCATCTTCATGATTTCCTGGATCTACAGGTATAGGCCATCTGTGTCTCTCTTGATTTCACCTCCTCCTACCCTCTCAACTCATGTCTCTGGCCTTCAGTCTATACCCTCAAAATGACAAGCTGGTTCCCACTTCTGAATTTTTGCATTTGATAACTCTGCTTTTGTGGATGTTCTAACAATGCAGCTCTCTCTGAATCCTAATCCAAAGCTTTCTATAGCCCCTTTTCCCTCAACCACCTGGTATTGTACACTCATACTGATTTTTCAATTCCCAACCTCTTTTTCCCATTCTCTCCCAGAATCCTGGCCCCTAATCTCAAGCTTAAACCCGATCCTTTGCCATTACATTCCAACCCTAACTTAGGGATAACGCATCCCAATCCATTCCGGACCTCTCAAACCAGTTCAGCCTCACAGTTCAGAGCATCTTGCTCTTCAGTGTTCCCTCTAACCAGTAGAGTACGACCCCTGCCAGTCACGGTTAGCCCCGCCCCACTCACTCAGGCTCCGCCCCAATACATGAAGGCCCACCTCTTCCCTCAAGGCCAACCCAGAACCCATTCGAGAGAGACCCGCTCTCTCGAATCCCGTCCCGTATCTATTTAACGCACGCACCAGACCCTCAGGCTCCACCCAAATCGATTAAGCTCAGCCCTAGACCCACGAAACCCCTCCCAGCATCCACTTAGGCCCTGCCCCCATAGAGGCAGACCCCGCCCCCAGGTACATAAGGCCCCGCCCCATTCCCACAGGCCGCATCCTCTTTGGGCCCAGACCCCAGACCCCAGCTTCGGCCCACCACCCTCACCGTAGGTCTCGGCCATGACTTGGTCGCGGCCGCTGAGGGCCGCAATATGGCGCCGCGGCCGCGCCTGCTCCTCGGCTGGCAGCCGCTCCACTCCGGCTGCAGCCCCGGCTCCTTCCTACTCCCGGACCCGGCGCCGCCACTTCCGCCTCCACCCCCCGCCCGCTCCGGGGCGACCCGCTAGAGCTGCGGGATACCAGGCCACGCTTTCCAAAAGGAGGGATTGGCGGACTCGGCAGGCAGAGGGCGGGACAAAGGGTGCGGATTGGTGGCCTGAGAGGGGCTGAGCCGAAGGGGGCGGGAGCAAGGCGAGCAATTGGCAGAGCAAGTGGGAAGGGGCGGTTCCAAGATGCATCGCCCGGCGGAGGAACGGATTTGGTCAGGAGTCCGAGGGCAGAGTAGAGACTCCGGATTGGACAGGAGCAGACTTGGGGCGGAGATATGGATGCAAACAAGGGACAAGGGCAGGATTGGAGCAATCTTGAGCTGGTGGGTGAATTTCTGACCCCAAAGGCAGAAAGAAGGAAAACTGGGAGGACACGCACAGGTTACTTCCCACCCGGCTTTGCAGATGCACTCCAAGAAAACACCTGCTTTGCGATTTATGTTCTCTGGTCCGATTGGCGCATTCCCAATAGTTCCAACTCCCTCTCATTGGTCAGGAGAGGACACAGTCCCTCAGTTGGGTGTTTGATTCCGTCTTCTCTCTTGCTTGTGTGCAAGATCTAATCTTAGGAGCCCGCCTAGGGTACCTAAGAGCGGGCTTAGAGCGAAAAGCTTTCATCAAACTCTGCCTAGCAACCATTGACGATGCCACATTCAGGGAGTTGATTGGCTAGATTCAGAAACCTGCAAAGCATTTCCTTTGTACAGCCCCACTCCACCCCCCAAAACCACAGAGACAGGCAGTTTGCACTAACTAATGTATTTGCATACGGCTAGGAGGGAAAAACAGCAGGAACCGCGGTAGGTTGAGCTCAGTGACAGTAGAAATCCCATTTCTGAAAAAGAGAAAGGGAAAACAGTGAAGAGAAAACCAGCATCAGATCTAGTGGTTTAAGCAAAAGCTGCAGCCTAGGGGCCAGGTTTGGCCACACAGGAGCTATGCAAATTAGCCTAGAGCCCTATATCTTTGCACCTTTCAAGTAGATCCCGGTGTAGAAATCACTCCCTGTTAAAGATGAGAAATTTGAGGCAAGAAAAGAATTTATCCCAGCACACACAGCAAGGCTACCAGAGAGCATAGACGTTATATTTGCCCACCATCACAACCAAAGGGTCCTCCTCCTCCAGGAAACTTGCCACCCCTCAGGACACTCACATCTGTCTTCACATCAATTTTGCCAGGTTTCAGAGTCTGGTCCTCCCGAACAATGCTACTGGGGAAATAGCCTAGGCGGGCAGCCAGGTCTCCATAGTAATCACCCTGAACCTGGGAAACAGGAGTTAAAAGCTGGGTCTGAGAGAACCATCATTCCTGCTGGAAGCTTCTGCACTGCCTCCTATGGGATCCCCACATACCTGGCTCTAACCCTGTCATTTGGATCTGTTTAAATGTCACCTACTCATACCCCTCCCAGAGCATAAATGATTTAAAGTAGCCACCCATTCATTCAATATAAATGTTCATAGAAGCACATATTTGCTGACATTTTTGATGGCTTATTGCTCATCTCCCTTCATTAAAGGAATCTCTTGTAGTATTTTAGGTGTCTACAAAAGCAGGTGTACTTTCTAAACAAAGTAAAAATAAACTAAGTCACAGAACGTACCCTTCCCCAAGTATCTGGATATCAGTTTACCCCAAATTTGCTCTTTAGGTGGAGAAGTGGGGTCAACTCCCATCTAACCCCATAGTCCTCCCTCTTCCATTCTCCCAAGACTCACACTGCCTCCCCAGAAAAGCCGCCCTCGGCCCTTCAGCTTTGAGAAGACATAGACAATTTGACCCCTGTGTATGGTCAAGAAACGGCAGTCAGGAGCCACGTAGTCCTGAAGGGCCACAGCCATGGATATGGGGTCTGGAGAAGAAATAAAAGGGAATAACAGCACTCCATCCACAGACTGCAACCTAAGTCCCCAGCCCGCCCCCCCCTTCCCGCTCTTACGGCTGCATTCCTCATCAGCACACAGCTTCCGATCAGCCAGTTTGGGCATGGAACGGCCTGCGACAGTAGACCCTGGAAAGGCAGTCAGCAAGAGGATGACACCAAGGAGCACTGGGGACCACGCCATCATGGACTATGGAACAACAGTGACCAGGTGGGGGATGGGGTCTCCAATTTCTTCCTGCCCTCCCTCTCCCCAGAAACAAGGAAACCTGTGTTCTCAGTCCTGTCCCCGCCCAAAACCAGTCCCCAATTTTACCCACACTACCTAGAGGCTGCTATCCAGCCAAAACCATTTCAAGGACAGGGTGAGGGCTGTAGGCCCCAGGAAATGCCCAGATAGGCCCCAAGTAACCCAAGCCACTACAAGTGACAGCCACCCCCCAGCAGAGGCCCAGACATGCAGGTATGAGATATTTGAATCCCTGGAGTCAGCTCAGGTAACTGGACGCCTTCACTCTCCCTCCAGGTACAGAACCAGAGGAGCTAATGTGGAAAACCACCTTGGAATTTCCTGCGCTGAGGGGCAGAACAAAGCAACCTTTTGATTACCAGGCCCACCTCTCAGATGATCCAGTGAATACTTTATGTTGGGCCTCGGGATAGGTAATGTCCCACCATGTTCACTATTCATCCCCAACTGCCACTTCCTGACTGGATGACCTGGACTAAGCTACAGAAATACAGCCTCACCTTGCCCATACATACAATGGGGATAGGAATAAAAGCAAAAGTTACAGAGCATTCATAAAGTAAATTTTTATTTTGTTAACTCAAACAGATATTCTGCATCACCTCAGAAAGGACTGTGATAACCCCATGTGCATGGAAATGGAAGTGCAGAAAGTTAAGGAACTTGGTCCCTGCACGATGGCACACATCTGTAATTCCTATTAACTCACTGAAGTAAGAGGATTCAAGTTCAAGACCAGCCTAGACAACTTAGTGAGGACCTTGTCTCAAAAAAACAAAAAGGGCTGGGGATGTGGCTCAGTGCTTAAGCACCCTGGATTCAATCCCTAGTGCCAAAAAAAGAGACTTGTCTAAGCCAACACAGCCTTAGCCTTGACTAGAGGAGTCAAGATTTGCCTGCAGGCCCACAGGTATCTCTGTTCTCCGACCTCATTGGGCTCTTGTGAGGGTTAAACACTCTCATCCAAATTCAAAATGGATCTTGGAGAACCCAAGAATGTTGAGTGACCTGACAAAGATGCAGTCAACAAAATCCAGACCATCATATCTTTTTCGTTTTTGTTTTTATTTTCTTATTGCTTCTTTTTAGTTATGACAGAAGAATCAATTTTGATAAAATTATACAAGCATAGGATCAGACCATCATATCTTAACAAGGAATAAACTAACAAAGAAAGCAGGGGGGACAGAATGTAACTGAGGAGTGGCCTAGAACTTTTTTATTTTATTTTTATTGTACTGGGGATTGAACCCGGGGTTACTGAGTTACATCCCCAGTCCTCTTTTCATTTTGAGTTTCAAATTGGTGAGGCTAGCCTCGAATTTGCCTCAGACTCCCCAACTGGGATTACAGGTGTGGCCACGCCCTGTTCTCTGTGTGGCCTACATTTAAAAAGATTTAAGAAGCTATCAACCAGTTACCATATGTAAACTTCTTCTGAATTCTGACTCTAAGTGTATACAGAGGTATGTATACAAATTTTGAAAATCTAATCAGGTATTGAGTGTGGTTTAAAAGCTTATTTAGGCATGATCATGGCATTGTGTTTGGTTTGTATATTTTAGAAAATGCTTAAATACAAAGCTGATAGTGGGCTAATAGACTATTTGGGATTTGCTTCAAAATAATTTGAGGAGTAGAATCTATCTTGAAAAAAATAAGCAAAACTGAAGGAAATATGGGAGTTCAGTATACTCTTTATATGTCTTCTTTTACCAGGTATACGAGATAGTGTACTAAGTATATTTAAAGGGGTTCAGAGTATAGCTCAGTGGTACAGAGCATGCTCAGCATATACCAGTTTGTGGGACTCAATACCTAGCACCACTCCCCCCACCAAAAAAATGGTATTTAGAACACACTCCACCTGTAATTCTAGAGAATGAAACAGAAGAATCACAAGTTCAAGGATCGCCTGGGAACTTAGTGAGCACCTGTCTCAAAATAAAAAGGGTGGGGATGTAGCTCAGTGGTAGAGCATCCCTGGGCTCAATTCTCAGTACTGCTGAGGCGAGAGGGAGGAAGAGGAAAGGGGATGGGGGGAGGAAAGAGAAGGAGAAGAGAATATGCTCAATACTGTGGCCCCAGTATTACTGATGAAGTCACAAAGTTATAGAAATGACTTTATTTTCCAAAGCCCAATTTACTTACCCATTGCTGGATAATAATTATCCCAAAATGTAGTAGCTTAAAACCACATTATAGCTATTTCTCTGGGTCAGAAGTCTAAACATGGCTTAGCTAGTTGCCTATGGGCCTACAAGGCTACAATCAATCTGTCAGCCAGGGGTGCAGGTCCATCGACAGCTGGACTTGGGGAAGATCTGATTCCAAGCTCTCAGACAATGGTTGGAAAGATTCAGTTCCTTGTGGAAACCGGACTGTGGGCCTCTGTCCTCATTAGCTGTTGGCTAGAGGTTTCCCTCAGCTTCTTGCCACATGTATCTCTTCAAAGACAGCTAGCAACAAGAAGCCATTCTTTATAATCTTATCATGGAAGTGACATCCCATTATTTTTGCTGTAGTGTCCACTCCCCACCATCAGCAGTTTTCAATTTCTGTGGTTTCAGTTACCAGCCTTCTGAAAATATTAAATGGAAAATTCCAGAAATAAACAATGACTTTAAAAGTCACCCTTATTTTGTTTAATAGTAGCCCCAAAGCTTAAGAGTAATGATTCTGCTTACTATAGTGATATATGCGTACCCACATTTATAGCAGCATAATTCATAATAGCCAAGTTATAGAACCAGCGTAGATGTGCCTCAACAGATGAATGAATAATGAATGTCTGATATATACACACAACGGCATTCTACTCAGTCATAAAGAACAAAATTACGTCTTTTGCAGGAAAATGGATGAAACTGGAGCTAATGAAATGAGTCAAACTCAGAAAGTCAAGGGTCATGTTTTCTCTTCTATGTGGAAACTAGAGAGAAAAAAGAAAAAAGGGAACGAAGACAGGATCTCATGCAAATAAGAGGAAGACCATTAGAGTAGAGGATGGGGACTAGGGAAAAGGAAGGGAAAGAAAAGTAGAGGAAAATACACCAAATTATGCGATGTGCATGTACACATATATCACAATAAATCTCACTATTAGGTAGTTATGATGTAGCAATTAAAAAAGCAGCAATGATGCTGAGAGGCCATAAAGTGCCATAAAGTTAAAAAGTGATAATGAGGAAAGGAAATGAAATCAGGATGAGGTTGCTAAGATCCATGGTTAAGAATGACTCTTGTGTGAAATTATGAAGGAAAAGGAAATACATGTGAGTTTTGCTATCACACCTTAAACAGCAAGTTACAGCCTCAGTGCATGACAAATACTTACAGATGGAAAAAGCACTGCACGGTTTGGTACAGCTCCTGGCTTCAGGAGTGTACAGGAGGTCTTAGAATGCATTCTTCACAGAAAAATGTGGGGCTGCTATATTCACTTGAAGCAGGTCACTAGGTCCAGCTCATGCTCAAAGGGGATTTCAGCTGGGTGCAGTAGCATATGCCTGTAATACCAGCTGCTCGGGAGGCTGAGACAGGAGGATCCAGTTCAAAGCCAGCCTCAGCAAAAGACAGGCACTAAGCAACTCAGCGAGACCCTGTCTCTAAAATACAAAATAGGGCTGGGGATGTGGCTCAGTGGCCGAGTGCCCCCGAGTTCAATCCCCAGTATCCGTGCCCCAAAAGGGTGGGGGGGGCGGGGAGAGGATTTCACAAAAGTGAGAATATCAGAGGCTGGTCATTATCAGAAACAATCTTAGAGGCTAGCTACCACACCCAAGCTTTATCCATGACCCAGAGGCAGCCACGGCAAGCCCCACAGTCCATCCTATATCCTTCTTGCTCCAATTGTATCCACATAAACAGGGCCACCAAAGCACAGGTCTATGGAACACAATGCACACTGCATTCCCTGGAGGTCTTCCTTCTCCCTAGTCCCCAACACTCACTCCCACCACGGAACCATCACACTGCTTCCAGATATTCACATGGGAGGCTGTTCCTTGTCTTTTGGGGTTCAGACCCCAAATCGCCTCTCTGCAATGCTTCCCCCTCAGCTTTCTCTTCTGTCTTGCTGAGGAGAAATCAGGCTCTGGGGTTGTCACCAGCCAGAAACAAAATGAGATAGTAGAGGATCTGACTCATGTCTCACCTGTAAACTTGTTTCCACTAGAGACCCACACGCAGAAGACCATTCTCCAGAGGATCCACACCACTCCCAGGGCCCTCAACTCTGTACTGAGTGATCCAAACTTTTTTTTTGCTGGGCAGAGGCGGGACACAAAACAAGTTTGTGGTCAGGGAGGAGTCTGTCAAATGGCTTCAGCCATTTCTACAAACCCAGCACCCATCACCACAGGCCATGAGCCTAAGTCACTTCTACTCAGATACACCTTCTGAGGGCCTTTTCTTGACACCCACAACTGTTCCCAGTCCTGCTACCCCACCCCAGCACTTGTGCTTCCATTAAAATACTTGAAACTAGCTCATCTACTTATTTCATTACATTCTCTAACTCTAGAATCTAAAGTGTTTATTTAGTACCTAATAGGTACTACTAAGCAAAAATGCTGATTTGGGTGCTTGCTAAGTACCTGGTAGCATAAGTGTGTATGTGAATGTGTGGGTTTTGGGAGGAGAGTGAGTACTAACCTTATTGCAGTATTAACAGGATTCCTCTTCACATAGGAACAAAATGAAGCTCAGGGGAGGGACATCAATTGCACATGGGGTAACAGGGACTTCCCAGAGTGGAAACCAGGACTGGTTGGCCACAAAAGCCACACATCATAGCCACTAGGCTGTGGTGCCCAAAGTGGTAGGTGAGATGTCTCCACTGACCTGCTGCAGTAACACCGCATCATTTAACAAAGATGGCAATCCCTCTCTTCTTCCTCTTCAGACCACAGAAGAAAAATTCTGCATTTGATGATGCACGACTTCAATTTTTTTTTTTTTTTTTTAAGTGTTGGGGAGCCTCACGCTTGTCAGGCAAATGCTCTACCACTGAGCCACATCCCAGTCCTTTTTATTTAATGACAGGGTCTTGCTACGTTGCCCCGGCCAGCCTTCAACTTGGGATCCTCCTGCCTCAGTCTCCAAAGTAGGATTACAGGCGTGCACCTCTGCACCCACTTACTTTGTCTCTTCTAACAAGACTTTTTTTGGAGCACTCTACAACTGAACTACATCCCCAGCCCTTTTTTATTTTTGAGACAAAGTCTTGCTAAGATGCCCAGGCTGGCCTTGATCTTGCAATCTTCCTGCCTGTGGAGGCAGGAAGACATTCCTCTTTAATGGAGAGAGCAAAGCAGGAGCAGAATTAGGCTTAAAGCCTTAAGCGGGAGATGACATCCAGATAAAATGGTGTGTCGCTGGAGGTGCATCCTTGTGCAATACACAACCTGCCAGTACATGGCAGGCCTCCATTTCTACTTCTTGCCCCAAACGCTGACTTGAGACAACAGAAAATTGCCAAAGCAGTATTAACATTATTATACTACTGTGTTTCCCCAAGTTTGCAAACCCCAAAATGCCAAGAGGTCCAAAAGCCCATGATGTGCTGATGTGGAGAGAAGGGAACCATGGAAAGCAAGAAAATAAAGAGACAAACGGTTGCGAAAAACCAAACCTCAAAAAACCACTTTAATTCCAGCCTTACAGCGCCAGGTGCAATGTCTGGGGACAGACTCTGGGTACAATGCTGTGTGGCGACCACACACTCACACACGGCTCTGAGAAGGCCCCCAAAGGGGGACTTACCTTCAGGGGCTGAGCCAAGGGGGAAGGGACAGCCCCAGAACAGGGGTTAAGGACAGGCCTAGGGAAAAGGTGCTACTTCTTGGCAAAGGAGATCTTCATGGCGTTGTTCTGGGTGATCTTAAAGCCCTGGAGGGCATCCCGAGCTGCCCCTGCCTGCACCTCGTTGTCAAACTCCACAAAGGCGATGTCATGCCGCCCAGGGACCAAGCGGACCTCCTTGAAGCCAGGGAACCTGAGAGAAGGAAATGACAGACCTCAGACATGTCTGTCCCCCTAACATTTTGGCAGGTAGAGTGCAGAGGCCAGGAAGATGCTGAACATCTTACAATGCTCAGGACAGGCCCCCACGACAAAGGAGTAGCCCATACAGAACATGCAGCGCTGAGCTGAGAAACCCAATGTAAACAAGCTGCTTAATGAAAAATCTTAACATGACACCCGGGAAACCACAACCTTGATGACGACACCGAATGCGGAAACCCCATCCTTCCCCCATCACAACCCACTTCCAGCTTCGAAAAGAATCGCTACTCTCACTTTTCCAATACGCTGATGTGCTGCTGCTTTAATCTCCCTTTTCTCATTCCTTACTGCCTTCTCAGCTAGAAAACCTTCCTCAGTTTACCGGGCATCTTCTTCCACCAGTATTTTCACAAAATACACACTGTTTTGTGGACATGGCATACAAGTGATATTGTTTCAATTTTGTTCAGTTTCTCAAAAATTCCTCAGCATTATCATAAAGCAACTATTACATTGCCGTCTCCACTTCTCCAAATGGCCACACTGTAGGCCATGGTAAGTATCGGCATGAGCCATCCCATCTTCAGGGCTGCCTCCTACTCCCCACAGTGACACTGTGACGATTACCCCTTTCACAGCTACTTGGAACTGACTTGTTTTAAGACTTTCTGTGGGACACACGAAGCAGAACCACTAGGTGAACTCGCCCACATCCACAACACCCATTTAACAGTCGCTCCACCTGATGGCCACACAGTCTCGTCCTCCTCAGCTTGGCACCAGGGTTCACACACCTCCACCTCCACCTTTTTGTCAGCTAGCCAGTGATCAATGAGGTCTTGCTATCATATACACCTTGCACGGCTGAACACAGATCTCATCCATTTTTCCATTTTAAAGATTAGAAAAATGAACCAAAACCTGGGTTGACAAAGGCCAGCATGTGCTGGCCATGGTTACCCAATCTGTCTCATCACCAGCTTTGGCTTCCTCCTCCTCCTCCTCCTCCTCCTCCTCCTCCTCCACCTTCAGTTGCTATCCCTACTGCCAAGCCTGAGTTGGCTTGGGGCTCTGCCAGCACAATTCCAAGGCTCACTCCCCTGGTGACACCTTCTGGCCATCACCCTCTAGCTCTAGCCCAGCTACTAGCCCTACTTACTGGTTGAAAAGCATGGACAGCATGAGCTCGTTGGTCTCCTCTGGCAGATTGGTAAGGAACAAGATGTGATTTGGTGGATTCTCGGAAAGCTGCAGGAGAGGAAAGGAAGCCCATGAGCATGAAGTGCTGAGTGGACTGGAGGGATCCATGGTGTTGCCCTCTACTCACCACCCCTCCCACTGGTTGGATTCTGTCTAGCACCTCTGAAACATGCTGTTGCCCCTCTACCCACACCCTGTACCCCTATAAACTGCAGGCCATAAAACAGCAGAGGTTTCTGTTTTATCCCTTGAGTACAGCATAAGCGCTGGTACACGAGCAGGTGCTCAATAGAAGTTTACAAAATGAACCTAGATGCTGGGCACCGCTCCAGCCTCGACCTGCCCTACCAGACCTCCACCAAACATGCCAATTCCTCTCTACCCCAGGGTCCAAGCCCATTGCTATGAGCTCACTACTGAGGTATCTCTGCTTCAGTACCAACTCCTTGGGAGTCTGCCCAAACCACCCAATCTAAAGCAGCCCCTGCACGGTCCCCTTCTATCCTATATTTCATATGAAACCCTGGAGGGACTGAACACTTACAGGTTGGGCAGGTGGCATCTGCCCTGGCATAAGCTGTTGTGGGGGCATGGCCCCTGGTGGGATCTGGCCTGGTGCAAGGCCTGGTGGCGGGATCATGCCAGGGGGTGGCATGTAGGGAGGCTGGCCGGGCATGTGGTGCATGATGCGGGGTGCCTGAGTCATCGGAGGCATGCCCTGTGGAGAAAGAGCAGGACTGAGGACAGGAGAAGGCGCGGCTACAGTGCCCGCAGGAGACAAAGGAGCAAAGGCTGTTAGAAGAAACCCTGTAGGTAAGAAATAAAAGAGAAGGAGGCCAAAACAAAGGCACCAAGATACCAGATTGAGCAAAAGGGACCTGGGCTCAAGGGTAACAGTACATCAGAAAACAAATTTTCTAAAAGAATTTTTAAGGTATAAAAATTAGTGGGACCCAACCTTGTTTACAGATGTATAAATAGAAAAAAAGACGGAGGTGGAAATGCAAACAACTGTGAACTCACAAGTGTAGAAACATGCTAAGGAGCATCCTGTACTTTCGCTTCTAAGAAACAAAAACTAAATAAAGAAACAGACCCAGAGACGTGGGGAGAAACAAAGATAATGGAGGGCTGGAATGTGGCTCAGTGGTAGAGCCTTCGCTTTAGCATGAACAGGCTCCGGCATGCATCCCCAGCACCACAGCAAAAGAAAGGTGGGGTGGGCATGGAAGACAGCAATGGAAAGAGACGGTCAGGGAAGGTACAAATGGTTGCCAGAGAGGTGATGTGGGAGCCAGCCCAGGGCGCACAGCACACAGTGTAGCCCAGAGCAAGCCTCCAACCTTAGAAGTCAAATATGGAGGGAAGGCTAGGCCCCCAAGAGACTGGTAACAACGGAAAAGCCCAACAGAGACTCAAGACACCATCACCGACTCCAGACAAAATGTGACACAGCCTGAGCACCATAAGACTCTGAGGACATTTTCCTGTTTTCTTAACTCTTCTTCTGTTAGTTGTCACATTCAGGTCTATGACTCAGCTGAAACTACTTTTTATATACAATATGAGGGGACAATAATTTTTTTCTCTTATAGATCCAACTGCCCAGCATCACTTACTGGGGAAAAAATAAGTTCCACTGAACTGCAGTGGCACCCTCATCATACATCAAGTGGCCAACGTGTGTGACTATTTCTAGACTTTGTTCCACCCACTGGTCCATCTTTCTACTATTTTGCCAACAGTACATCATCTCGATCGCTGCAACTTCATAACGAGTCTTCTGCCCCAGCTTTAATCATCTTGCCTGCCTTGGCCTGGCCTTTCCAAGCATTGTCTACTGATCTCTTACTGGGATTTGGACTGCAGCAATTGTGTTTAATACTCAGATCAGCTGGGCACAGTGGCACACACCAGTAATCCAAGTGGCTCGCAAAGCTAAAGCAGGAGGATCGTGAGTTCAAAGCCAGCCTCAGCAAAAGTGAGGCGCCAAGTAATTCAGTGAGACCCTGTCTCTAAATAAAACACAAAATAGGGCTAGAGATGTGGCTCAATGGTCAAGGGTTCAATCCCTGGTACCCAAAACAAACAAACAACAACAAAAAAAAAACACTTAGATCAAGTGTAGAGAGAACCAATCTCTTAACAAGATGGCACTGAGTCTTCTCATCGGTTGCTGAAGTCTCCTATTTCTCCCAGCAACCTTCTGTTGTTTCAGGTAGCAATTTTACGCGTTTTTCCCTTGGTAATATGAACTTTGTTACAAGCACATAGAAATAGAACTTTTTTCACATGGATCTTATATGCAGCAACCTTTCCAAATTAAATTCATTTATTTGTCCCAACAGTCAGTAGATTCTTTTGGATTTTCTACATAACTGGTGACTTAAAAAGACACATAATAGGTGGTGTTGTAATTCCAGCTACTCAGGAGACTGAGACAAGGATCAAATTTGAGGCCAGGTTCAGCAACTTAGCAAAACCCTGTCTCAGAATAAAAATTAAAAAGGGATGAGAAAGCCAGGCATGGTGGTACAGGCCTAGAATCCCAGCAACTCACGAGGCTGAGACAGAAGGATAAGAGTTCAAGGCCAGCTTCAGGGCTTAACAAAATCCTGTCTCAATAAAAAAGGGTGGGGATGTAGCTCAGTGGTAGAGCACCCCTGGGTTCAACCCCAAATACCACCCCTGCCCCCAAAAAAGATACAGACATTAAAATCAAGGTCAAGGAGAGAAGTTAGATGACAGGCATGGAAAAAGATCTTCAGAAACAATCAAGCAGGGAGAG